CCCCATAAATGTAACACAAATGAGTGACACCAGAGGTACATTACTTGGGGTTTGCAACTCGCATAGTACTGTATGGTGACATCATGTCAAGATCCCATTCAAGTCTCTTCTCGTAGATAGCGAGACTGAGGCTACGACTTTCTGACATGATATATATCAATGTTCAAGGTTTGTAATGAAAAAATAAAACTTTTCTTGTCACTATCATAGTGAAAAATGTAATACATCGAAAATGTACAGAAAATATAGTTCTCGTAATCCGTCATATCATGGGCAGCTATTTTGATCCACCTGGACATCCCAGTATCCTAGTTACCTCGGGCATGCGCATTTTTCTGAGTTGGAACGCTTATGCGAGAGCGAGATTGTGACGGGATCTTGGTATCATGTCACCGTAGTTACAAACCCCAAGTAATGTACCTCTGGTGACACCAAATGGTATCCCAAATAAGTCAATATGATTTCCTTATATCACACTACCGAAACTATCACCGATCGATAGTACGTTAAACATTATCACCAGTGCGAAAAAACTATGACAATTGATACGTTTGAAGTTTTTTTTTCAAGAATTCAACAAGCTTAACCGTGCGTAACTCCAGTGACAGCCATTTTCATGAGGTTGACGTAAACAAAATTACTTTTTTTTAAATGACATGTAGTAGAACTTCCCTCAGCTAAAATGCTAGGAAAGAGTTGACTGCTACTATTAGTACATCGTAGTTTGTTATGTACTTCTTGGTATTTACTGTTGTTGTTTATTTTCCCTACATTCAACATGTATGGGAATATATTTATTTCATTCCCCTCAAAAGACTATGGGCAACAGGGTTCTTCCCAGGGCTTTTTAGCGCCGAGGTCCGCGGCGCTATACCTGTGAATCTCGGCGCTTCACTTGGGACCTCGGCGCTATGTGTTCCCACCTCGGCGCTTGATTTCATATTTGACATGCCAATATCAGATATGAAAAAGCTTTGTTCGCCACGCCGGTCGGCCCCGACCGTCACTCAAAATTAGTGACCACCACGGAAATGCTTCCGACGTGGACTATTTTCTGATTGTTGGTATAATTACGTACCGACCGACATGCATCCTGCCAGTTGTGGATTATAATATATAAACAATAGACCTAGTCGCACGATACGTAGCGGCTAGTCCAATTTGTGGAATTAGCACCTCTTTGTTTGTAAGTAAATACTTTCTGCGATAGACAGAGTCTTTAGATTGAAAGCTAAAATTATTTCAAAATCAATTCCACCTCGATATAACATGGTCAAATCGGAGTTCACGATCAGTTCACGCTACTCAAGAAAAAAACGTGTTTATTGCGTGATTTGGTAAAATACATTTGAACTGTTATCATTGCGAATCATGTAAAAACTCTTCTTTCAAGACCTAATTTACCTTTTAAAAATTGCAAATCACCTCTTTCGAAAGCTGTCATGCAGTTTTCAATTGATGCCAACACATCGTGCTACGACATCGCTTCAGGGCTCATACCACTAATTGAATTTCCATAGACGACAATGTTAACATATGACGAGATTGCTATATAAAAATGACGAAGAAAGTTGAAAATATGGCTCAAAAATGGGAAATCAACATGCCAGTAATCAACCATATGAAAAA